GGAGTGCAGTCTGATGCTTCCATACATGTATAGAACAGGTAACGGCCAGATCAGTATCATTGGTGCATTTGTCCATCACCTGAAGCATTTCCGTCTCACCGTGCTGAGAACACTCCAGTCCCTTCTACCAGCCATTTTAGAATACTGAATTCAATGTCAGCCCCATTTGCTGGACCCAGCTATGGAGCATCAGATTTACCCTTCCCACCCAACTGCCCCTTGTACCCATGAGCCCTTTCTCCACCCCTTCCCAGACTGGTAACCATGAAGTGCTCTTAGAAAACAGATTTGAGGCTTTGCCTGTTAATGTGAACTGTGGTCTCTTAGGCTTACTCTGTCCTCTAACTCCACCCTCAAATGTCCATCCAAGGCTTCTGGAACTCTCTATGCAGCTCTCATGGACTAGTGCTCCACACCCCTCAACTGCCCTCCTTCCATGCACCCCCAGCACAGACCCCAGCACCCATGCTCCCCTCTCCTCTTCTTCCTCTGGCTTTCCCACCTGAACAGTAAGGATTCCAGATGTGCCCAGAGTCACAAATGACCAAGCCTGGAGAGACCAGGTCCCACCCCAGCACTGCCCTGCAGTCTCAGGTGGTGGAAATGCCAGCCTCACCCGATGCGCTCCTGCTCCATCTCCTCCATCTTCTCGGCACGCGCAATCACCCTATTGATAATCTCCTTCTCCTCATCTGTCAGCTCTTCCTGCTTCCTCTGCCTGTCAGCCTGAGCTCCGGGGTGCACAGACCATTCTGCCTGCAGCCTGCAAGACAAAGGGGAAAGCATGAGGCAGGTCGAGGGCCCATACAGGTAGAGACCACAGAGTCTGTAAAATCAGGGCTGAAGCTTCCACTGGGAGCCTCCCTGGCTGGGAGACCATGGGCAGAATGGTCCTTCTGATCCTCAGTTTGCCCATCTAAACAATGGGCACACACTTTCTACATCCAGATTATTTTCAGTAAATACCCAGGGCTACACACATAGAGAAAACTGGGGGGCGAGGTGTTCTCAGGAAGATTCTAGAATAAGACCGCTCCAGAGGAAAGCAGGAAGGCACATTTTCTTTTAAAGCTTAAACTAGTTGTTGAAGATGTTTATAAATATATCTTTATAGGCATAATAACCAAGTTTCCAACCGGGAACAGGCTCCAGGAACATCCAGAGTTCTACTCTGTATATTCCCTCCTTTTTCTTGAGACAGGGTCTCAGATAGCCCAGGCTGGCCTCAAACTACCTGCATAGCAGTAGTCGACTTTGAACTTCTGATCCTCCTGCCTCCAGCTCCCAAGTTCTGGGATTACAGGCAAGTATTACTGTGTCTGTTTCATGTGGTGCTGGTGATTGAACCCAGGGCTCTGTGCATGCTAGGTGAGCACTCTACCCATGAGCAGCACTCCCGGCCCCCTTCCCCTTTGGCCAAACCAAACACATGGTTCCTACTGTGTGCCCTAGTCATTTGTCTAGTCCTCACACTTTGTCTACATATGCACAGCGTGCCTGTGCCACCAACCCCTCTCACCATCCCTGCGAGGCTGGCCCTGTCCTGTCTTTCTTTCCTGATGGGGAAGCTGAGGTGGGAGGAATGGCAGAGTGGAACCCGAGGCTACTGGGTGCTGAGTTCCATGGCAACCGCCACTCTTCCCTCACACTGTGATCCTCACTACCCGGTTGAGGTCCCTACCTCTCCCTGAGATGGACACAGGCTGAACAACACTCAAAATTCTCCAGTTAGGGAGAAAATCAGTATCCAGGAAGCCTCTAGGTGTCAGAACCCATGAGCCACCGGTCTGGGTCACTTGGGTTCTGATGGCACAGGGGCCATGAATTTGCCTTTTCATGCTGCAGTTGGAAATGAAAATCCAGTCCTCCTCCTCCTCCTCCTCCCCCTCCTCCTCCTCCTCCTCCCCCCCCATCCTCTTTTCCTTCTTCTTCTTCCTCATCTTCCTCTTCCTCCTCCTCCTCCTCCCCTCTCTGCCCCCCATCTTAGCAGGTTGGTTCTGAATTACAGATCAAAAGTTGGAAAGAGGGCTGGAGAGATGGCTCAGCAGTTAAGAACACTAAGGTTGCTCTTGCAGAAGACCTGGATTCGAATCCCAGCACCTACATGACAGCTAACAGCTGTCCATTCACTCCAACTCCAGGGAATCTGATACCCTCTTCTGTCCTCCTCCACTACTGCACAACATGGGTGCACTTATATACACGCAGGCATAACACTCATACACATAAAGCAAAAGTAAATAAATTTCAAAAAAAGAGTTGGAAGAAAGAAGCAGATGTCATGGGGAAGCAGATGTGTGAAGGGGAAAGGGGTATGGACTGGGAATGTCTGGTAGAAACACAGGTGTGGCCTGGATCAGGTGTCCCTGTGTGACTCAATGCCAGGAGGGGTCAGATTCTATAGTGGCACCTCACTGGCTTAGGATAAATCCCAGGACTAGGTAAAAACAATGGTCGCCCACTCTGTAAACACACCAAATGCTGCTGAATTCCACTCTTTAAGATGGCTAATCGAAACATACGTGAATTTTACCTTAATAAGAAAGCCCGGTGTTCCTGCCCTTTTGGGAAGTCCTTCTTCTCTGTCCTTCCTGCCCCACTGTGGTCATCCCCCACTTCACTCCCTCTGCTGTGTTATGGCTACATTGGTCTCTTTGCTCAGCTTAACACTCAAACCTAGTTTCTGCCTCAAGACATCTGCCCTTGCTGCCCCAAAGCCAGGAGCCCTTCTCCTCCCGCCCATCCCTACCCCCTTCTCTTTCTTGCTCCCCCTTCTCTCCCCACTTCTCTCTCCCAGCCCCCACCCCAGGCCTTTTTCTTCCCAGGCCTTTCTTTCCTCCCTGGCCCTGCCCTTCTGCTGGCTGGCTCTTCTAAGGGTTGGTCTTAGAGAGAGGCAGCACTCTATCATACCCATCCCCAGCTGAAACTATCTTTTAAAAAATTGTTGTTGGTACCTGCTAATTGCCGCCACCCGCCTCCCCAACATACACACACTGGGTGCAGGGACCTTGCCTGACCTGTGCCCTGGTGCTCAGATCAATATGGGAATACACACACACACACAAAGAATTTGAATAGGACCCAGTCCCTTGTGGCCAAAAGGGATGTTAAAGTCTCCTTATATACAAGGCCCACAGGGAGAGAGAAGCAATGGATGCTCTGCAGTCTAGGGACTGTGAGGAGCTGACACAGTGAAAGGCTCCTGGAATGCTAGGGTTCAGAGCCTGTGTTCCCACAGCCCTCTCTCGGGCCCTGAGACACTGTAGTACTGGTCACTTCTTTAGGAAAATATGCAAAAGCCAGAGACTTTCATCTCTGTGCTCTTGAGGACAGACTCCTGTTTGAGAAGCTTTAGGTCTAGCCAGTCAGGTCTGCCCCTTGCCTGGACCCCAGGGGAGAGCTGGTAGACAGAAGGAAGGGAGGTGGAGGCTGGACTGGCCAGGGAATGGTCTTTACAAAGCTCTGGAGGGAGAGTGGGGGTAGAAGATCTGAGGCCTGAGGCCTGGGCTTCCCACCTCCTGGGCTTTACACCCTCCCTGCACACACCCTCCATGCTGGATCCAGGCTAGAACCATGTGGCTCACTCACTGTGGAAACAGCCCCAGGACTCCCAGAGCCAGACCCTGTACTTCAGTCCCTCTGTCCTCCAGCTCTATGAGGGAACAACAGCCACCATGTTCCAAGAAATCTTCCTGCAGAGGCCATGAAGAGAGGAGTTGAGCCCTCCTGCCTCCATGGGTGGTTCTCCAGCTCCTGTGAAGCGTATTCAGGTGCCACCCTGGTGACATGATTGTAGTCAGGTGGGGAATCCCGGGCCTAAGCTGCCCGGCCAGGCCCTTCTCCGTTCCTCCTGGGAGAACTGGAAGAGATGATGGTTGTAGTCTGCTGGCCTGCTTGGTTTGAGGTTTGTTGATCTGTTGTGTTAGGAACTGGAAAGACAGCCCAGCCCAAGCTGGGAATGGGTGAGCAGGAAGCCCACCTATAGGCTCTACATTCATTTTCTTTACCTCATAATAAAATCTTGAGACCACCATTTCATGACCTCCCAGGTTCTTTGGGTAAGGAATTGGTAATGCTTAACTGGATCATCTGTTCTGGCTTCCCCAGGCTGCAGTGGAGGTGTGGACTGGGCTGTGCGTGCTCATCCTAAGGCTGGAGGGGTGAGCCCCGGGCTTCAGGTTGTTAGTAGAACACACAGGCTGCTTCTGTAGAGTTACTGCGGACAGGAGGCCCCTGCAAACTTCAGAGGCTGTCTTCATTCCCTGAGGAAGGGCTCACTCTCTTCATTCAGTCACAAGGAGAATTTTATCACCTCATGGCTGAAGTCTCCTGCAACATGGTGTAGCCACAAGAGGTTTGAAGCCAGCCCCAGGTTCTACCCACACCTAAAGGAAGGGGATTTCAGGAGGACATGAACACTGTGGTCACTGAGGATTATTCCGCACTCTGTGAACCCCACCTCCCTTTCAGGTAGGGATCATGTCCACCTTGTCTGGATACTCCCTTGGATGGAGCCCCACTCTTACCTGGAGTCTGTCATTCTGTTGGAAAGATCTTCCATCCAACACATTGATACCGCTAGCTTGAGGTTTCTTCCTCTTCCTTTCAAAGGACACAGTGGCTCCTAACCCTTCCAGAAGTGCCCAGTCATAGGCTAACGCAGCCATCTCCCCCAGGGCTGGGATTTTCATGGCCGTTTTGCCTATCCCAATCCTTCCTTCTTTCATCACACCTCTCTTCCTTAACCATTGTTTGGGTCCCTGTATTAGTGTCCTTTCCCATTGCCCTCATACTTGACAAAACAAGGGAGCAAAGGTTTATTCTGCTCACAGTTTGAGGGTGCCATCCATCACTGTGAGGCAGTCGGTCACGTTGCATCTGCAGTCAGGAAGCAGCGAGAGATGGGTGCGGGTGTTTAGCTTGCTTCCTCCTTTTTGTCCAGGCCACCAGATGGTGTCACCCATATTTAGGGTGGGTCTTCCCACCTCCATTAACCTAATCTAAAAACTCCCTCACAGACATGCCTAGAGGTTTGTCTCCAAGATGATTCTAGATCTTCTTAAATCCAAGATCAATAGTAAATGTCACAGTCCATCTCCATTTCGTCCCTCTTTAACAGAACAATTCCACAGCCCACACTGAGTCCAGGGAAAAGTCTTAGCTCACAGGCCAGTTTATACTCTCAGGGACTGTAGCTCTGTTTGGTCCTGGGAACCATCAACTAATGTCTCTTACCCATCACCATACAACCTGCTGGGTTCCGTGCACATTGCGGGGCTTTGGTTGCTGTATGATGTGCTTGTAAAGACACAGAGGGTACATGTATCCCTGAGGTCCGTCCCAGGAAGGCCGCCTCCGTCTTTAGATTTCAGGGGCAGAAGGCTGCTGGAGGCTGCTGTCCCTCTGCTGTCCCTCTGAAGCCTCCCTGTATTCCAGAACCCAGAGTTGACAAACAGCTCAGCTGGTGTTTGGAAATGTCTCCATGGGTCTCAGCGGGAACCTGAAAGCCTCCTGTGGATCATATGTTTTCATTCCCAAAGCAAACAGTGTGAAACAAGATGAGCTTTTCAACCAAAGCCTTTTATACTCTGGGAACAGAAGGGCATCCTGGGTTGTGAAGCCATGTGGACACGGGGGCCCTGTGATAACACAGTGGGCGTCTGGCACAGGATGTCAGCAAAATGTCCTTAAGACCAGAGCCCAAGGTTAGGATCTTGGGTGATTTTGATTGTTGTTGTTTTTTTTCTTTTATTTTTTTCTTTT